ACAGTTGGACACTTGATATAGGTTATTGAACTAGGGTGAAATCATAGAATGTATTGAAAATTACGTCCAGTTCAAAAACATTCCTCAGTGTTTTATGTCGGGTGGGGTTCTTGTAGTATTCCATTAGATAAAACAATTCGATCATATCGCTCACCCACAGCATTGACTTATTGTAATAAGTGGAACCAGTATCAGTTTCAGTCCCAGTTGCCAATCCATTCTCAGAACGATAAGTAGATGCAACGATTTGCAAGCAGCTGCCAGGGCCACAACCTAGCAGCCGCCCCGGAATGCCTCAGCATCTTTCAATTGAATTAGAAAAACGACTTAAATAGTAAATCCAAAATGAAGGGAAAAATAACTAACAGGCAGCAACAATTGAAAAAGGGGTGGTCCGAACAAAGTCGTTTTTTTTTTTTTTTTTTTTTTTTTGCTTGGCACGAGTTGACACTCATTGTTGCCAGAGCAACTTGAATTACCTATATATGGATGTGCATATGATGGAGGGGTTGAAAAGCCTATTTCAACTGGGAGCTCTATAAATTAACTTTTGTTGTGTGCATTCTGAAATGCTTATTGAGCTCATTTACGCTTCACAGTGGTACTGCATAGATAAGAAGCAAAGCTCAGCTTATTTTTTTATATATGTATATAAATATGCGTCACTTTATGGACTTGATATTCCTACACGACAACAGCTGTTCAATATATATATATATATTTTTTTTTTTTGTCATACTCTTTTTTTTTGGCTGTAGACTCAAGTTTCACTTAAGGCTGTCGCGACGAAAGTTTATTTCAAAATTTGTCTGGCGAGTAAAGAGATATTGTCAAAAAAAAAAATAAAATAAAATAAAATACATGTTGGATACAATTTATAACTGTGCAGGAAAAAAATTTTTTTAAGGGCTATTTAAGGAGCGGCTGACCGCAGTCAAGATCAAGATGGCAACTCTCTCTATCTCTCTGCATCTCTCATGCTCTCGCTTAATGCCTCTATATAACACAGTAACACACAATCACACATACATAGTAAATGACCGAGGAAGCTACAAATCAAACAATGTAAAGACGCAACAATGAAAAAACAAACGAAATGCGCGCCAACGCCTCAAAGTCAACAAAATAGACGCTAAAGACGCTGAGCAAAGCAAAAGTATGTTAAAAATATAATAGGAGGGGCATAGTTAAATGAAGGGATAAGGAAAGCAACGGTACGCACAGCCAAGCATCTCCCACACAAACACAACACGTATACACTCTCAGGTCGATACAAACTATTTGTGTGGGATCCCTTACGAAGGTTATTTGTTCATGGTTAAAAACGAAAATGTATATGTAAAATATAGTATATAACATAAAATATGTTTGCTGCGTCGCCACCAGCTAATTGAAATCAACAAATATGACCCAGAAAGCAAAAATTTAAAGAAAAAAAAACGCTGAAGGTGAAATCAAGCAAAGAGAGAGAGAGAGCGAGAGCGAGACAGAAATCAATATAAGTAAAGTAAATCCAAAAACTCAGCCGAGTTAACATTTGTCTATAAGTTGTGCTAAGTAAAAGAAAAAAAAAGGAGTTAAAAGCCTAGCTAACATTTGGGGGCATGTAAATATGCGCAAGTATAAATAAATTTTTCAATTGGCTGACGCAATTTTCGAGCTTGTACAAATACATTCAAATCTTATACACTGGTATTGGTGTAAGAATACAAAGCAAAAACGCAAATGGGAACACGAACATTACGCACACACACAACAAACTCTTTGTTTGCGCACTGCGAGTGTATATGTTGAGAGAGCCAGAGTGAAACGAACGGTACGCTATGGAATTGAAACACTTCCATTGGTTGGATCTCTCTAACCCAGTGCGTCGCTATCAATAAACGACTTTAAAAATACAATTGCACACAAAATACGCACAATATGAGGTTAACTAAAAATGCATTGAAGGCATTACAATAATTAAATTGTTAATATAAATTTTGCACGTTTGTTTGGATAACTGTACTGGTGGGATACCAGCACAGTTTCTCTTTGTCTCTCTCACAATGGACCTATGAATAGCAGCTCCACTGTACCCCACTCACACACATACACACATGCACATATTTAGATACACTTATGCTCGAACAGCTGGGAGACGAATTGAGAGTTGAAACAAACACGTAAATTGTTTCTACAATTTTTTTCTCATATCTGCTTTGCATTGAAGTTAATGCATACTTAAATGTATATGTATTGTATTGTATTTGTATGTACAAATATGTATTTGTATATACATTTACTCAAAATAAAAAAAAAAAAAAACAATTGACAAGAAACACACAAACTAGGCCTTTTTGTGATTTAACGCAATGAAATTTTTGTAATTTATTTTTCTTTAGTAAAAATAGTTATGCTTACGTTGTTACAGCCATTTTGTTGTTTTATGTTGCGCAGGAATGTTTCGAGATGAGTTAGTTACTTGAGAATCTTGGCGAAAATTGTATTATTGCACTCGAAAAAAGGTGTATAGTTGAAAGTTGGTTCTTTTAAACTATACTAAGTGTTTTGTTGTTAACTAATTTGTACTGCAAAAATGTATCACAGTGAACTTGTTTTTGTCATAGTCTATCGGTTAAGCCAACATTTTTCATATTCTTTGCAAATAGTTTGTGGATCGATTTTTCCCACGCACTAATTTAAGAGTGGTAGGTTTTTTCCCATCAGCTGCACATCGTAATTCTGTTTTTGTGTACTTCGTTACTTTACTTAAGTTATGTTAAATATACATTTGATCTTGCATGTACTTAAATTCAAATTCAAATTATAACACAATTTTGTTTAATGCAAAATCTCACACACACATAAATTTAATCACACACGCACACGCTCAATTACAGTCCAAACGGTACTTTGCTTTGTTGCTTCCAAATGTAAACTGAGGAATCAAACAGGGGAGAAAATCATACATTGGCAACCAATGGACATGTTGCCTCACTCACTCAAATGTTGCCTCACTCGTGCTGCTACGAAATTGACTTGTTGGAAAGAGTGAACAGATGTTGCTCACTCGTGCTGAACTGCTTTTGCTTAAGCGCTGTACGTGTTGAGGAACATTCAGTGCAGTATTTAAATACTGCAATTTGAGTAAAATTTGTACTTTTTAGAAGCATGAATTGCCACTTGTTAGATGCTAGATTTTTGGTGGCATTTCTGCATAATATCCACAAGGTGGCAGCCTCTCAATGCGCGGCACTTTTTAAATTATAGTAAAATTGTATAAATAGCAAGTTAAATAAAACTATCCGATAGAATAAGAATGCTTACATATTGATCTCATCATGTATTTCACCAACTTTCGAAACTATTAAATCTATAATACTTCCCACAGATTATTTCGTATTTTATTACAAATTTCCCAGTTAGCAATTTCAATATCATATTTACAGCTCATACTTATGCTTATTATTACGCATAGTTTGAATACATTTTCACCAAATAGTGAAAATCATTTTCTATTTTTTAACTGTTGCTAAGCAATTTAGTGAATGAACCCGTGAGGGCGGGGAGAAGCAATTTCGCTATTCACATACACTCACTCACGCACACACACACATACAGACACAAATATGATTGCTTATGTATGGGTGCTTCCAGAAAGTTGCAGCACTAAGCTTTATATATAACTATTTGCTATATTCATAGCATTATTTTTAATCTTTAAATTGCAATTTCAACAAGAACTCAATGAAATGAATAATACAAAATAAGAAATAACCTTTTATTCAAGATTTCGTCACAGACCTGCACATACACACACACTCAGAATCTTATTGGAAGAAACGCGTGGCGTAAGGCACTCGGCTGCTCAGTTAATTTAACGCTAGCAAAGTCGTTTTTGCATTGTTACACAGTTTATAATTAGCTTTATTAGTATCAGTAATGATTTTTTTAATAACTTACCCGGATGCCTCTGCGTTTTAATCAGTATTTGTCTTTTTTTTTTCTGAACTGCGACACGACCAAATATATGTAAATATCTAAATGAAATGAGCTGTTGAAGGGCTGGCAAGTGTCTTGGTTGGCAATTCGGTTCTTCGGAACCAGTTGCGAGTGAGTGAGCCATTAATCGCTGTTCACATGAATACTTCAATCGCTTTTCTTAGTGTTAGTTAATGTTAAATGATTTAAAATTTTGTCAATTTCATATATTTTAATATTTGCCGATGATATAAACTAACTATCCATTTTTTTAAATCCTAGTGTTAAAAGCCACTATTAGTATTATTTATGGTATTTTTTAAACTATAAATAGATAATCTAACGGTGCACATTGCGGCTGCATTTCATTTTTATCACTGATAAAAATGGGTTTCAAACAACAAAAAGGCTTCGCCACTAAGAACAGCGCCTCTGTAATACCGCCCATCACCGTGGCAACTCCAAGCGAAATGTCCAGCAGCAGTTTCTGGTAGCGATCGATAATGTCAACTATGGTTTGGTCTTCTCCTCTGGCCTTGGCGCCACGACCGCTGTGCTGGCTATGCTCATCATGCGATGATGTCTATGGTCTGTGGTGCAGATCCTCTCGGTGGTCTGGAGAATGCCGATTTAATCGATGATATCAAAAATGCTTTGGATGTGGCAGCTAAAGTTTGACTAAAAGATGGGAGTATTTTTTATATATTTATATGAATTTTTAGTTAAAGATATATGTATATATATTTTAAAATGAATTGATCTTCCATTTATATTATATTGTATAATAATTAATAAACAGGTTGGATTTTTTCTAAAATATATAATTTTGTTAGCTATTTTGATTTTTTGTCATTTGATTACAAACAATAAAAATAGAAGATATTCTATGACATTCAATCCTCGTTCAACTGTTGGTCGATGAGTTATACATGAGATTCTAAGCTTACTAATTTTAAGTCATTTGGTTTGGAATACCAAGAAATATAATTTTCATGTTTTCTATAACACCTACATCTGATATATGATACTCTAAACCATAAATGCAAACAAAATATTTATTTAAAGGAAAAATTAAACTGTTTTATCTATTGTATTCTATTCTTCAGAAGCTATATAATATTTTTAGTCAATCTTAGGGATATTTAGTCTTTAGTTTGGAGTTAAGAAGCTCGACAGTGTACGTTTTTTTTTTTTTTTCAAAGAAGATATACAAAACTTAATGAAGATACTTATATGATATATAATAGCAAGTTGTCTTATCGAAATTTAAATATACATATTGGTATAATTTTTAATGATAAGTAAAAGTTAACTAAATAATAACACTGACCAAAGAACAGTGATAATAATCAATAGATTTGATTTAAAAGTATGACAATATATCCGAAAAAAAAAATGGAATATGCATAATACACACACATATTACGTTTAGATTAGCTCTCTATAAATAAAGAACAAACTGTAAAAAACTAATCGAATACTCTATAAAGTAAACAAATATGAAACTGGTTTAAGCCTACTATTCAGTTAGCATATATGTATATAGACAAGATTAGCTTGGAGCTTTATAACTATGCCTATATATATAATAATTATATATCTACGTAGTTTATTGTGTGCTATAGTGTGGTCCTGGTGTAGGCACGCTCTTCAAAGGCGAATCGTAGTCAGGGGGCGGCTGATCAAGTACGGTGGGCGTGGCTGTGTCTGGTGCCACGGCCGTGCCAATACGCTCCTGCAGCGTCTCGTAGAGTTTGTGGATGTGCTCATTGTGTGCCGACGTTGGCTGCATGGCCTTCATCAGTGTCGCCAGGCGACCAGCGGGCAACTTATTGTAGATGTACCAGAGCAGCTTCATCATGTGCCTGGAGGTGACGTTCTCGCGCGTTAGACCCGCGAAAATGAACTCATCAAAGAGTGTGGTGCAAAAGTCTTCGGTAGCGAACTCCTCACTCATGGGTATGAGCAGAGCAATCAGCGAGTGGAGGAAGGGATCCTCATAGGCACGATAGTCCTTGCAGGCCGACAATATGGCTAGAACTCGCAGCAGACCGACGCGATCCTTGACGCGAGCCGTGTGCAGCGTATAGTACATGGCTAAAATGCTGGCCACCGAGCTCTCCTGGATATAGGCCTCTACGGCGTCCGGCGCCGGGCCAGAGTGTTCAATGGTTGTCAATGCGGATTCACGCTCATCGGGAGGAAGTTTGGCGTGTAGGCTTCGGCACTGATCGTCCACCATGAGGGACATCAGTGCAGGTAGAAACTTGGTCACCACCTGGCTATCGAGCTTCGGCTCCTTAAAGTCCTGGGTATCGATCATGAACCAGGCACTCAATCCTAATGCCAACATGCGCAGCAATAATATCAAAATTTGATTGTCTCGCGGCATGCCCTCGTTGTTGATCAAGTGATTCAGAATCTTGATGGCCGAGGTAGCCAGAAAATTAATGGCATACGGATCACACAGTGTCATGGAGAGATCACCAAGCACCTGCTCCTGTCCGCGTTTGATGTTATCCAGAAATCCCTGAAGTTCCCTCGAACGTTTAATATCCACATTCTTCTCCCGAATGCAAGCGTCCAGGCACCACGTAAACTTGTGGCACGGATCAATCGAGATGATCTCCTGCACCTCCAGATCGTGCAGTGCCATCAACAGCTCTGCCCGGAGCGTGCAATAATGTACATTGCGTGTGCGCAAGAAAAGAGTCCGCAGAAACTGGAGCACCATATCATAGAGCTTCACGCTATTGCCAATCATGTTGGCCAGCTTCTGGACTACCTCCCCCTGGCGGCGCACCTTCGGTGTGGGCTGGAAGAACAAGTTATTCAGATTGGTGTGATCAAAGAGGATGTGCTCCTTTTCGCGAATATATTGCGATAGCAGTGGAGACACCTCGTCACCAAATAGGGATTGGTTATCGCGCCATATTTGCCGTTTGACTTCTGTGTCTGTATCCGCATAGAGCTCGCGATCGCGCATCAGAACGCGCAAGTACTTATCATCAATGTGCTGGGTATTTCGAAGTATGGCCATCACAACAGGACGCAAATGTTTAACACGCACCACGGGAAAACTCTTGACCAGCAAATCCTTTAGTTTCTTTTCGCGCTCGCGTGGATCCTTCTGACCCAGCTCGTTAATGTGCGCGATTAGTTTGTCACGCAACTCCTCCATAAGCGAAGTATGGAAGTCCAGACGTCGCACACCATGCAAATCCAATAAAGGCAACATCGGACGCAGAGAAGGCAGCAAAACTCCATTTTCGAGTTGAAAGCTCTCGATGGCTTTCAGTGGATCCGTGCATGAGGTGAGCGCTTCACGTAGAAACGCTTGGCCTGGTATATTAACATCCTCCAGACCGGTGCCAGTGCTTTTTGCAGGCGTGCTCATTTTTTTTTTTATCAACAAAACAAATTATTGTCTATTTCACTTAAATAGCAAATGTCAGATTGTGAAACCAGGGCTACGCCAGCTAACAAGTGTTAGGGATGTGCACTAGTCCCTGCTGTACACTTGAGATGGCTGCGTGCCCTATCGCTAATAGGTTTTGATTATGATATTTAAGGATTAAAAGAAATACGCTCATTTTTTCAACATATAAATATTCATTTAAATAAATTTAAATTAACAAATATATTAATTTAGCATTCCTATGTATTTTTTGTTATGTTTACTTTTGTTGCGATGTCTCAATTTTTCCACTCGCTACTTGTAACGAGTACCCGCTACAAATATAAATAGCACCCATCTCTGAAAAGAGCATAAGAACAGAAAAGCAAATTGGGTGGAAAACTGGCTATAGATGTGCGGAAAATTATTTAGTGCAGTTTAACAATCGAGTATTAAAAACGCTGCAATTAAGATATATTATAAACAGTGCAAGGCAATAGAAAGCAAATTACAAATTAAGAAACACCGCACGCCAAGTGATTGTGAGTGTATATGTCTGCGTCTGTTGCTGCTGCTACTGCTGCCGGACGTTCAGCCATAGAAGAAGTGGCAAGAGCAGAGGAGAGCAGAACGAATGGGAGTGAAGAAGAAGAACTAGCTGCAAGAAAAGCCTTGCTGTTGCCATAATTACGGTAGCTTTGTGGGAGTTCAAGTTTAACAGCGCGCGCCTCTAAGTGTGTGCGAGTGTGTGTGTGCAATCATTTTCGATGTGTGCGTAACACCCCCAAAGTCGCTCTCTTTGGCACAAGTTGTAAAGTTACAACAATAGCAACAACGACGGTAACAGCAATAACAACAATAACACTAACTGCTTGTAAGCAGTAAAAAGGGGGAAAGAGAAGAGAGACTGCCGTTCGCTGACTTGTCGTTTGTTTTGTGCGCACATTCGCGTGCTTCTCTTTGTTTCGGTTGGGCGCTGCGCTTTATTTTATTTTGTGATATTTTTTTGTGAGTGCGCAACGCTAGTGGCGAACAGCTTCGCTTTGTGGCCATCAGCTGGATACGGATTTTGTGACGGCGGCGAGACAAACAACGCCGAAGTGGATGCACATGCACGCGGTGGCCTGGGCATTGCCCAGGACTTTGGCATGGCCGGACCGGCCGCTGGTCCGCCAGCACATATGTATGGCGCCATAGCGCAACAGGACAGTGAGTGCAAGCCTATAATTATGTATATGGCTCTCTATAATACTAAATGATCTCTCCCTCTCTCTCTCTCTCGTCCACTCGTTTCTCCAGTAATTGTTCGGGATATGGTGCAAATGCCGCCGCCGCCGCCGTCGAATGCGCCCACTTCAGCGGATGCTTGCCTGAGCATCGTCCATTCGCTAATGTGCCATCGGCAGGGTGGGGAGAGCGAGGGCTTTGCTAAGCGCGCCATCGAGTCGCTCGTTAAGAAGCTGAAGGAGAAGCGAGACGAATTGGATTCGCTGATAACAGCAATTACCACGAACGGCGCTCATCCAAGCAAATGCGTCACCATACAGCGCACGCTCGACGGCCGACTGCAGGTGAGCGTCAACGACAGCGTCGACGTCGACGTCAGCTTCAGCTTCAGCTTTAGTTTCAGTAACACCTCTTATCGCCCGGCAATGTGTGGGGTCTATATGCTTTTATACCCTGCACCCATTAATTATGTGTAAAAGAGGTATATTGCAGATGTAGCGATGGGAGAATTAAGGAAGTTTTTAGTTTGTTGCCAATCAGGGAATATATGATATTAAAAGTGTAGTTAAGATATAGATAATAGCAGTCATATGCCAAAGGTAGATCAATATATAAATTATAAAAGCTAGACAGCTAAAAATTTCGAAGTCAGTTAGTCATATGTCAAGTGTTAATTTATGACTGATTGATAATTATCAGGTTTACCTAGTAGCCATACAAAATTATGTCTCTTTTATAGCGCATTTCCGAAAAGATATCTTAGCCAATATTTACTAGATGTTGTCTAACATATAGCCTTTTTTTTTAAACTACAGGGTATTTTATAGTCAGGCACTTTTTTCCAATGCATTTTATGTGTTTTGTTTGTTTACGTTGTGGCATTTCCGGTTGCGATATGCGACGCATCTACGTGTTTACTATTTCATTCGATTTGATTTTCATTTAATTTTCTTTCTTCCATTCTACGCTTTTCTTACCCTTGCTGGGCGACAGGTGGCTGGCCGTAAAGGCTTCCCGCATGTGATCTATGCACGCATCTGGCGCTGGCCAGATCTGCACAAGAACGAGCTGAAGCATGTGAAGTACTGCGCTTTTGCGTTCGATCTCAAGTGCGATTCAGTCTGTGTGAATCCCTACCACTACGAGCGCGTCGTATCGCCGGGCATCGATCTGTCTGGCTTGAGCCTGCAGTCGGGACCCAGTCGATTGGTCAAAGATGAATACTCAGCCGGCTCTCTCGTTGGCAGCATGGACATTGATGGCAACGACATTGGCACAATTCAGCACCATCCCACGCAGATGGTCGGCCCGGGTGGCTATGGCTATCCACCACAGGGTCCCGGACCCGGTGAATACGGTATGGCCAGACACTTTAGTAGACTCTCATATTACAACTGATCTTGATCTTAAGCTTCAGCTAAGTAGATATTGTTGGTTTATTTTGCTTGCTTCTAGTTTTCGATTTAATTTTGCTAAATTTTGTTTTCATTTTCATTTTCGTTTTCCGTTAATTTCGTAGTCACCGATGCTAATCAAATGAGTGCAATGTTTGCTGCCGGTCGCGCAATACCAAAAATTGAGCCAACGGACAGCGGCGGGCCAGTGCGCAGCTCGTGGATGTTGCGGCATCCGCCACCGCCGCAGCAGCAACAGCAGCAGCAGGCGGCGCCACAGCAGCAGCCACAGACCCAATCCCAGCCAGCGACGCACGCACTTTGTAAGAATTTTTCGTTGTTTTTGGAATTTGAGTTCATTTTTTCTGCAAAATTAGCTGCATAAGCTTTAGCACTGATAGCCAATTAATTCTAATTTGTTTGCATTGCAGCCGTACCTCATGGCATGCCGGGTATGAGCGCTATGAATCCTGGCTCCGGTGCCGTTATGGCGCCTCCACCCCCGCCCACACAAGCACAGAACGCACAAGGTAATGGCGTGCATCATGCCCAGGCCAGCTCACCCACAGATCCAGGCACGATGGCCATGCAGCAACAGCAACCGCCGCCGGGTGGCGGACCCAATGGACCAAATGTGGCCAGCAATTCAACCGGAGGAGCTGCTGGCAGCGCCGGTCAGTACTATGGGGCGCCGCCCGCGGGCGCACAAATGCAGAGCGTGGGCAATGATGTCGGAAAATTTAGCAGCAGTGGCAATAGCGGCTCTGGACCGACCCCTGTGCACGCCCAGCAACAACAGAATGGCTATGTGCCGCAGCCGAGTGGTCAGGGAGCTGGCGCCAATAGCTACGGCTCATCCCAGCCTCCGTCTGCACAACAACAGGCTGCAGCAGGCAATCAGCCAAATGCTGGCGGTGCTGCCCAGGCCAGTGGAGGTGCTGGTGCCGGTGGAGCAGCAGGCACCTGGACGGGACCCAATACGCTCACATACACACAGTCCATGCAGCCGCCTGATCCGCGCTCCTTACCCGCCAGTTACTGTGAGTGTGAAGGGGAATCTCTGAAACTCAATTCCCTTTACTAAACACTTTTTATTTATTTGTAGGGAGTACGGCGTTGCCTGGCGATCTGGCTTCACCGCAACAGGCGCCGCCTCAGCAACAGCAGCAGCAACAGCCACGATTGCTATCACGCCAGCCTGCGCCAGAGTACTGGTGCTCCATTGCCTACTTTGAGCTGGACACACAGGTCGGCGAGACTTTCAAAGTGCCCTCAGCCAAGCCGAATGTAATCATCGACGGCTACGTAGATCCCTCTGGAGGCAATCGTTTCTGTCTTGGCGCTCTCAGCAATGTCCACCGCACTGAGCAGTCGGAGCGAGCCAGGTGAATAGTCTATAGTTTTTCTATTATTTCAAATTGGTTACTAATATGCACAATCCATTTACAGGCTACACATAGGCAAGGGCGTGCAATTGGATCTGCGCGGAGAGGGTGATGTCTGGCTGCGCTGTCTCAGCGATAATTCTGTCTTCGTACAAAGCTATTACTTGGATCGCGAGGCGGGTCGCACGCCGGGCGATGCCGTGCACAAGATCTATCCAGCTGCCTGCATCAAAGTATATCCTAATACTAATCAAATGAAACTTTTATTTGTAACTTATTTAACTGTTAACAGGTGTTCGACTTGCGTCAATGCCATCAGCAGATGCACTCGCTGGCCACCAATGCACAGGCTGCTGCGGCAGCACAAGCGGCCGCCGTGGCAGGCGTTTCCAATCAACAAATGGGCGGCGGTGGTAGAAGTGAGTGTCAGCATCACTTCCTAGTTAACTCTTGGCATACTTATATATATTTTTATATTGCAGGTATTACTGCTGCCGCTGGCATCGGTGTGGATGATCTGCGTCGTTTGTGTATTCTGCGGCTGAGCTTTGTGAAGGGCTGGGGACCTGATTATCCGCGTCAATCCATTAAAGAGACACCCTGCTGGATCGAAGTGCATTTGCATCGTGCGCTGCAGCTGCTCGATGAGGTGCTGCATGCCATGCCCATCGATGGAGCCGCTGCCTAATGATCGGACCACACACAACAACACAGAAACAAACAAACAACCAACACCCATAAACACACACAAGCATATTTATTATTCATAGCAAGCAGCACACCACGTCTAAATGTTAGTTTTAAGCATAAAGTTTGAGCAGCTATCGTTATGTTCAAGTTAAGCGAAGAGCAAAACAAAGAAAACAATGGGTATGAAATATTTAGTTTTGATTTGCGATTACGATTCTTGAATTCTGTTTGCCTTTAATTATTTAATAATAATTTTTATAAAAAATTGAAACAAAACAAATCGCTGTCAAACATTAAGCCAACTAGTTTTATGTATCATACAGACCCACATACATACATACATATATAAATATACACACATTCGATAACTGACTTTGGGCAAGTGTCAAGCGATGCATTTCCTGCCACCCACCCACACACAGACAGACACAGCATTACTTACGCAACGACTACAGCCCGAGTATAGATAGTGTGCAACATCTTGACGGCGAGTAAAGCATAAAAAAGTAGTTGTAATATAAATGTAATAAACAGCATAAACTTAATTATAAATATTGTCAAGCATTAACATATTTCTCAGCTCTCAGTTGCACCTGTGTATTCAGCCAGGACAGCCAATCATCCGTTATAAGCCGCTCGAGCGTCACTTCGTGGAAGACCTCCACACGACGCACTTCCTTAAACTGAAAGCTTTCGAATAGGCGCAGCGAAACAGCATTGTCCATGTCTATCTTGGCTTCGAATTTTCGTAGTGGCAGGTGCTGTTGGGCATATTTGAACATCAGCAGCATCGCTTCACGACCATATCCTTTGCCACGTGCTGCAGGCGAAGCTATCATTATCTCAGCCTCGGCAACATATTTCTTAGGCTCATCGTCATCATGTCGTACAAATAGATTTGTATCGCCCACCATGGCGGCAATCTCATCATTGGTCTTCTCATACGTGTCCGCGCATAGCACAATGAATGTAAGCTTGTCAGTGTCCTCGCGCCAACTGCGTTGCATTTCGTACTCCTCTTCCAGCGTCAGTTCATCGGATGCCGTGAGGCTCCTTAGTGCGGGACTGCTCATCCACTCGTGATATTTGGGCACATGGTGGGCTTCGTAGGGCACCAGCACGACGCGTTGGCCACTTAGTTTTGTATGCTCATTTAGGCGCATTTTAAATTTGGCTTAAATTATTTAACTGCCAGTATCCAATCTAAATAATTTTGTGAATAATTAAAGATAAACAATAGCAACTGCAAAGCAATTCAAACAGCTGAGCTTTAATCGGCTCTTCTTAAATATATTGGCATTCACAATAGTTGCAGCGTTGCCATATGATGATCACAAAACAGCTGATTGCCGCGAAAGACGCGAATGATGGTAAGAAAATAAGTAAACAACTCGTTTGATTTGGAAAATGATTTGAAAAATGTCGGCACGTTGTCGTACCTGTGGCAAGATTATTTACTGTGTCAACGCAAAGAATTTATTCCAACAGCCCGATAACATTATGCTACATCAGATTGCAGCATTAACTGGAATTTTTGTAAGCATCTAATTCGATTCAATACCAAGTGTGATAAGTTAATATGTTTTTAGTATTTTCAATAGTTAACCGAAAATATGGAGTTTCCTACACAAATCTGTGGACCCTGCGAAGTGGCATTACGAGAAGCGATCGTGTTTCGAGAGCGCATTATAAAAACTCAAAAGGTGCTATTGAGCAACAGCAATAACATAGAGGAAGCGTTTAAAAAAATCGACTCGGAAGAAGTGGAAAATCTGGAGTTTGAGGAAGATGCCGAAGACATTGAACAGGAGACGACGCAGGAAGAACCAACAGAAAATGACACCTCTGGCGAAAATAATGACTTACAACAGCAAAGTGAATTAAATGATGATGGTCAACCGGAAGAGTCTGTGCAACAGAACGAGATTGATAAAGAATCAACTGTAGATGCTCCCACTCCAGCACCCAGCTTAGCACGCAAACCTGGCAAACCTCAATCTAAGCTCTATGCAACTGTAAACTTTGCAACAAATGCAAGGAATACTCCTCGCATCAACTGGAGCAAATTGTCGGAGGAAGAGATTGTCGCGCTCAAACGTGAACGGCGTAAGAGAGATTGCATCTGCGAACTGTGCGGCCGCCATTTCACCTGCCCCAGCAATTTCAAGGTGCATCTGCTGCGGCACACTGGCATAAAGAATTTCAGCTGCAAGCAATGTCCCTTGAAGTTCTATACCCCACACTTGCTGCGGCGCCACGAGCTGGCGCATCTGTGCGAGAAGCCCTACCCATGCCAGTACTGTGGCCAGACATTTGCCGATCACAGCGGAAGGATTCAGCATGAGCGGAAGTAAGTATAATTATATATATATTTTTATGCTTATATATATATTTTTTTAATGTTTCTCACAGTCGTCATACAAATTATCGCCCATACAAGTGTACCAAATGCGAAAAGGAATTCGCTGTTAGTAACAAGCTCAAGCGGCATATGCTCAGCCATTCTGGCGTACGCAGTTTTCCGTAAGTTAAGGCTACAAGGCAAAAGAATAATTGAATGAGTTGAGTCAGATGCCGATTTGCTGTTGAAGACTTTAGTCCTTCTCCCGACTGGTTTAGTAATCATTTAATCATTTGAAGGCGCCCTAACTCTTTTGGGCTACATCATGCTTTGCAGCCAAAGAATTTCAAATATTATCAAATATACCATTATCCGATTCATCTAAATGTACTTTTTTTACAGCTGCGAGATATGCAAAGTATCCTTCCTGCGGCGGCCACATTTAACTGCTCATTATCGCTCCAAGGGACACGAACAGAATGCACAAAATTTCACAGACTTGGCTAATGCTGTGGACATCGATATCGAAAGTGTCTTACAGTAAAATCTCTGTCTGAATGTAGTTTGCAAGCTCAGTTAAACATTGACTAAGTTTAACTAGACTTAGTTTTAGTACAATTTTTAAGATAAATTTATTAGTCACATGTCTTTTTCACATATTTTTGGTTAACAAAGACGTTGTTTTAACCATGAAGTTTTTTAACTAAGTAAATAATGTCACGTATGTAAATTCGTAAACTATGAATCTGTTGAATTTTTCCTCATAATATACATAGTTTTCGAAGAGAAATCATTTATATTTTGATACGTATATATTCGTGTAGATTTTAAGTACAGTAATAAAAAAAAGAAAGTTCGCAATGGGCACAATGCAGATTTTGGATATGCCCGACGACTGCCTGATCAGGATATTCGGGCATTTGGATTTGATAAATCAGTGCAACTTGGCAAATACCTGTCCTCGCTTTGGGCACATCTACGAATGTGCCTTTAGTAAGCGATTCCGTTGCTTTTCGTGGAATGAACCCATGCATTCTTGGACTACGCCGCAAGTGGAAAATTTCTTTAAGCTGAATGGCCATAAGATGCACATGTTGGCAGTCTCGGATGTGAAAGAGGGGGACAGAGAGCCACTGATTTGCAAGGCCCAGCAGATGATCAATGTGTGCTGCTATTTGAAAAATCTAACATCATTGATATTATCCATAGATTATAGGGTGACTTGCATTATCATTCAGATCTGTAAATATATGCAGAAGTTAGAGAATTTCGTGATCGACTGTGAGTCCCATCCCAATTATGAGTTTCTCGTTCTGTTGCCATGTATAAGAAGCTTGGATATTAATTATTATGTTGACCCCAATTGTAAGCTGCTGCAGAGATTCGCCCAGCTGCGTCCACATGCTTTGCACCACTTGCGTCTTGGAACGGAAATTCCGGTGGAGCATCGGGGTTATATTGCCAAAATGCGGGCCCTTGAACTATTGAACGTCTACAGACCCTGTTATCATTTTCTTAACTCTGTTATACTTCAGTTGCCCAATTTGCGTGTCCTTAGCATTTCGTCTGGCCATCATTTACGATGGACGGATTTTAAGCATTTGGTTATTCAGCTTAAGTTCCTTTCCACTATGTATATTATTCAGTGCAATCAAGTCGGCGACGAGTTTATACTGTTCGTTGTTCAGTATTTAAAGGAGGAAATTAGGCAATCAATTAGTTGTCGTCAGTTGCCTTTCTACGTGGCACTATATGAAACTAGCGTAACGGAGGGCATGAGGGAGGTAATGTAAATAACACCGATTTTTAGTTAGTCATTAATAATTGATTTTGCAGAATGAACTCATCAAATCATCTGATTCCATAATTAAACTTGTTTCGGTAAGTAATCTTTCCTAATTTATTACTTGTTATTTTGATTCAATTTTCAATTTTTGACTCCTTAGCAATCACAAAGAACTGCGTTTTGAAAGTGTTGGCGCCTTAGCGATATACAAGCATTCATCATTGGGAACAAACAAACAATTCACAGTGTGATTTAGAATTAACTAATAACAGATACACAGTACATATTGTAAAACATATAATTATATATTTTATACTTTGTTACTGGCCGATTTAAAGAAACACACATACACAGATTTACGTGTTTATTTTCCAATTGGTATTATAGGGAATTCGAATTGCTTGGCAGCACTGATAAACATTATAAGCAGCTGCTAATTGGCAATGCAAGAGCGCGGCTAATACGACAATTACACGCATTACTTTTGAACGTAAAGCGCCTTTCTGATAAACGAGTGGAAATTTACTGGGAAATTTGAGCAGAGTGGCAGCGCTGCTACCGATCAGCTGTTCTCTTCGGAAAAATGTCTGAGCGTGGTCGTCGTTGGTGCATTTAATACCTTTGTAACTTAATTTTATAGAACTATTACGCTTATATAAATATCTATAATTATTAAAATAAACACAGTGAGTCAGGCTAAGCAACTTTTGCCTTGGTTTTTGTTCAGCACAGAATCCATTGCGAAAGCGGCTTCTAGATCGAAGCCGGCTACCAAAACTTGCAACAACAAATAAACTGAAAGAAAAAAAAAAATGAAAAGAATTATGAGAACGTGTTATGCTGATGCATGCTCTAATTATGATGTGAAGTGCGTTTGAAATCCGAGCTGAGAGGAGGTGAACCCTCGACGACAAAGCGAACGATTGAGTTTTCTAGCTTAACCAATGTGGCACCTCCAATGAAAAATCAATTCGAAATCGTTGGATGTTCTCAATATTGGTTATTGGCCAGAAGAGCTCAAACACAGCTATAAGAAACGAAACCATCAAATATATGATATAAACTCTGAAATTAAATAGCATAGATTTTAAGCACATACAATATTTCAAATGGCAGACACTAAATTGAAGCAAGCCGAAGAGACCGGCCTAATGGGGCCACAGTCCGCATGTAAGCGTCCACGCCTGGACGAGGAGGAGCAGGCACTGAAGGTGGCGGGCTTCTCGCTCAGCGCCATTGAGGAGATGCGTCAGACCCGTGATGCTGAGCTGCTCTCGGAGCCAATAGATCAACAGCTTAGGCAGTTTCAGGTGCTGGACGAGGTGGGCACAGCCAGTGATGATGATGATTCAGGTGAGCGATAAGAAGAAACGAAGAGATTTACTGCATGTAGAGGAGCAGGCATATTTGCCGACTATCCAGGGCACATGGTGTTTAGTCATAAAATTGAAAGAAGCAGCTTCTACATGTCTTATCTGTTGATCTTACCGGTGCTTATCATTGTGTAAGTAATGTGCCATGGAGGCTGATAAAGCACGTGTACAGTGTAAATCTATCATAACGAACAGAGGCTTCACCCTAAGCACTCTAATTCAAAACTGTCCGCTCAAGAATGAATTCACTGTAGTTGCCAGCAAGATTCGCTTTATGAATGTTTATCGAGCGAGCGCATTTGCTTAAAACATTCCGAACTCGCTAGCAATTGCAGCTCAATGTGAAACTAGTCTAAACTCGTAGCTTGAAAAGATGCGCATGATACCCATTTTACGTCTGGAACATCACGAAAGACTAACGTTTGGATCAGGTTTTATTTTACACTCTTAAATTGACCGAAATTAAAAATAAGTAATAAGTATTTACATTCCGCAGATGATAAGCAGCGCGGCGATGATGATGACGGTGAGGGTGACGACTATGATTCCTCGGACTTTAACGATGAGGAAATTGAGAATCTTTTGGATGAAAAGCTGCCCGACGATCTGCGTGAGTCCAAACGTCCAAAGTACGAGCAGCGCTTCAAGACTGTGCTGGAAGGTAAGTGGATAGATCATAAAAATAAATATATAGATTAAGCTAATCCCATTTAATGTTGTTCATATTTTTTTAGAGAAGCGCCATAATCACTTTGAGGTACTGCCCGAGGGCTGGGTACAGGTGACACATAATAGCGGCATGCCCCTTTTTCTACATCGCAAGACGCGTGTCTGCTCAGCCTCGCGACCATATTTTCTGGGCACAGGCAGTGCACGCAAGCATGCCGTGCCGCTGGGAGCTATACCGTGTTTGAACTATCAACGTGCACTGGAGGAGGAAGCGGAGGCGAAACGGGCAGCTAGCGCAGACAGTACGGCACAGCCTTCTGCAGAGAACAGTAACAGTCACGAATCGCTCGCTGGCGTTTGTCCAGTGGCGCACGGCAACGTAGCCACCGAGGAGGCTATGGAAGTAGATAACAAGGAGAAAAAAGACGACACTGCTGTGGAGCCTAAAACTGATCAAGCAACCACTGGAGCTGGAGCTGGAGCTCTCCAGGCACTTATACCGGCTGCTAAAATTGTCACCGTCAATGAGAACACACAGAAGGAGTCGGTGACACCGGAGGAGCTGAACAAATACTGCCAGAAACTCTTCCGATTCAAGGAGATACGCGTGCTGCGCTTTCGCAGTTGGAATGCACGGCGCAAGTTCACGAAGAATCGGAAGCATATTAAGAATATACAACGACCAACGCTACCCGATGGCACCAAGCTCATAAAGTTCCCCATTTTGGCGGCCAGCGGCTCGGAGGGTAGTACAAATTCGCGAGGACGCAAGGAGTGGATCATGAACCCCAATGGCAAAAGCTTTGTGTGCATACTGCATGAGTATGTACAACATGCGCTAAAGACGCAACCCACTTATGAATTCAAAGAGCTGCAGAACGCGGCTACGCCTTATTCAGCAACCGTTTCCGTTAATAATCTCAAATATGGCACCGGATATGGTACCAGTAAAAAGCAAGCCAAGTCGGAGGCTGCACGCGAAACACTGGAGATACTCATACCCGATGTTAAGGATAAAATCACGGGCAACAATAAGGATTCGAAGACTGGCACTGCCAAGAAAACCCAAAGTGATCTATCTGTAAGAGTCTGCAATGAAACGAGAAAATATATGCAACTAAGAATTTTCTCTCTCTCTCTTTATTTATAGGTCTTCGATGACATTCGTATTGAGGATCCTCGAGTGACCGAGTTCTGCAATAAAACGACAGAGCCTTCACCCAATGCCATTTTGTTGACATGCTTGCAGCGTAATTACGGCAGCGATGTTCAGATCACCCAAGAGATCAATCGCACGGCAAATAACAAAAACGAATTCACCATGACCGTGGGCAAGCATACGGCGAAAGTTGTCTGCAAGAACAAACGCGAGGGCAAGCAATTGGCATCGCAGGCTATACTGCAGGTAAAATCAAGCCCATTTACCTATATATGTGTATAAAATATATAAAAATGTATTACTTTCCATATTTTATAGATTTTACATCCACATATTCAGACATGGGGCTCGCTTTTGCGTTTATATGGCAACAATTCGATCAAAACATTTAAGGAGAAGAAGCTCGAGGAACAGGAGATTACTGTGCTACAGAGCAAGGCGGCTGTTAATCAACCCAACTATGCCATTCTTGATAAACTCAAATCGGAGATGTTAAAGCTTAGCGCCAAGCACGAGGGGGTTCAAACCAAAGGAACTTTTGTGCCGCCCAGTGATGTGGATTTGCCTTCATCATCCGGTTCCAATTTGAATAATGTTGAACTATAGTTAACATATATATCAAGGCCAATGCATCAACATAATCATCATAATCGTCATTAGCTTTTTCGAGTATCTAACTTGCATGACAAACTTTTCTCAATGTGATCCATCATAATATGACAAAAACAAAACAAAACTGAAATATTTTGACTTTAGACGCAAGACGAACTACGTATACTCTTTTATAGTTGCGACCCTAATTAATTCCACATAATATATTAATATATAATATGCCAAAAACTGAATAAATAATAATTGTTAGTGCATCCCTTGTGCATTAATTTATATTTAGAAGGTTCATTCTAGATGAAGTACTTAAATGCAATCTAATCCTCAGCAAATTTTTACATATGATATATCCCTTAGATTGCTTCTAGATATACAACTTTAATTTAGACTAATTTAATCTTCAAATAAAAAAGTAATGTTAAAATGAAGTTTTTCATATTCACTTAGAATTACAATTCTTTTGTAGAGTTAAACATATATAGACAAATATGACTTCACTTGAACTTTGAGAAAAGTCCAATAAATCATATAAACATTGTTTACTAAATAAATAATATTCACCAGACGTTGGCTCTGCTGCTAAACGGATGTCGCAGCTTGCTCTTCAACTTTGGATCCACAGGAAGCGACCCTTGGTGGGTGTGGCTCACTTCGTTACGCAAGTAACGCAGTCCCATAGCCCATTTATTTTGCAGATTCTTACGTAGGATGGCGTAGTAATTATTATCGTATAGGTACACAGCAAATCCCACAGTTAGGAAGTAGATTAGCTCAACTCCGCTGACCATCGAAGCGCCGAGGCAGAGCCCAAAAATTCCACCAAGATTAGCTGAAATAGGAAACTGTTTATAAATGTGTATATAGTGTAAGTTGAAACGAATACCAATCAAGTCAATGCTGGTAAACTCGAGGCTAGTGCGATACGTTATCATCATATCCACCTGATAGTGCACGTCCACTTTGAAAACCTTTAGGGCTGACGATGCGGGCCTATATAGCACAGGAATAGAGTTAAGAGAATTTTGACTATAGATTTATGTAAATCAGCAGTACAATTCCATTGGGGACAGCGGCAGCGTGGTGGTGGAGGTAAAGTACTCCAGTAAATCGCAGCTGACCAGGCAGGGACAGCTCATGCCCGGCTTACTGGCGGTGAAGTAACTGTCTTCCTCCAAATGTTTGTCGTAGCTGAAAATATCTGCAAGAGGCACTATTATCCATTACTGATGCTGTGGGCAAGGCATTGGACTCACCATTGTGACGCGAAATACATCGCAGACTAGAGGCCGTGCAGTTACTGACTGCAGTCCAGGAAAGTGTCATAAATATTATAGAGAAGTCCTATTAGCAATCAGCTCACCTTTTTCATTTCTTACAAAGAAAATGGGTAGCGAGCAATTGCACAGCCTGACCAGATAGGACTCGTGACAGTTGGTGCGGCAGTTGGAGATCAGGGCACTCTGGTTAAGTCGACTCGTGCCAACGTCAATTTCCTCGTCCTCGAAATAGCAATTGCGACGCTTCGGCGGTATGTTTCGTGTGTTGTAGTCAGTGCGCGTCCTCTGGGGTCGCACTGCCACATGGGTCTCTGTGTTGGGCCTAATGGAGTAGACGACATTCGTCATTTGGGTGGGCGGTTTGATCATGATCTGCAAATTGCAAAATTAAGTGGAAAGTGCTAACTCAATTAACGGTGCAATCTATTCACAAAAACATTATCCGTGACTCTCGAGTCTGGGCTTTTGAAGCTGTCGTTAAGCAATAAATTGAAGTTCAGACCGGAACCCTGTCCTGCCTTGGCATTGTGTTTCGGATAGAAGGCAGGGCCTTCGCGCTTAACAAGCATTTGTGAGCGGTACGATAGCTCCGAGTTAAACACCAAGCACAAGCCATACTCCGTCTTCTCGAGCAGAAAGTAGTCGCAACAGTTAAAGGACGTCTGCCGCCACTGACAGGAGTCCGGCACCAGAATATCCTCACAGCGCAATACCAGAAAATTTGCCAACGAAATGAGCGAAACGAAATTCACAATCTCAAAGTTTGTATCCTCCATTTCGGAGGTACTAAACTCAAAATTATCGAATCTCAGCATCGTCAAATATTTGACCAGCGTGACAAAGGCCTCAACGACATCCTCGCTCGCATTGGTGGGCAGAAACTGTGCCTTAGCGGCCTCCAGCTTGCTCCAATTGACGCGATTTTCCGTGCAGACGCCAACAGCTGGAAACTGCACATGGAACACCGGATACTGCGAGTCCTCAATAACCGTTTGTAGCTTCTGTGTGCCATAGCGCTCTGAGAGCAGCATATAGAAGGAACAGCACAGCGTTACGCTAGTGACGAGCAGGACGCCCCAGATGAGTCTGCATAGAGAGTATGTCAATGAATGAAAAAGGCCGTGAATGTAGAGGCAGAGGTAGAGGCAGCACCTCTCCACATTATGTAGCTGGGTGTCATACAGATAGCGCACACAGTGTATTGTAGACCGGTCACAATAATACCGAAAGTAGCTGCGCACCAGCTCCACAAAGCTCTTGTCCACATCCTTATCCTTATCCGCTGGCATGTCACCGCTCGTCACTTTAACCATTTTGCTACTGACGGACGGACAGCGTGCTCTGGCTTTATTTAGGCGATTCTCGCATAAGTTTCGGCTCGTAATTACAACGGGCTGAAAGTATGTTTGGGCATCCATTAATGCTAACAATTCTTGTAATTGAGTTGTTATGTTTCAATTGGCTGATAAGCCCTTTGACAGATATATGCAGAGCCATAAACTTGCGATATTAATAACGGTGCTGCTGTTCATTGATTAACTGCCACGCCCGTCAATCAGTTCATCGAAATGGGTCCCGTGATTAAGTTGTCTGATTGCAATGACAATGCCAATGACAATGATGATGACAAGCTACCAGTTAGGCTAAAGGACAAATGCTTCTGCATCAGACGGTAAGCACTTAATAAACTAATTTACGGCCTTAACTCTTCAGTTTGCAATTGCTATTCTCAGCCTAACTCGTATCATACTAATATTCGTTGCCTTTGGGATGACCATTTACGTCTGTATGTTATCCTCGGAGCGCTACTTCCAGTACTGGGTGCAGACCACAATCGATCGCACCGACGTTCACGTCTCGGAGATTGCCTTTCCAGCCATCACCATTTGCCCCGCCCACATGAGTCCCAGCACGCCCCTGAATGCCAGAGAGCAGCGAATAATTTTTCTCTATAATCTAATGCAGAGCATTCATTGGCGCACCCCATTGGGCCATTCCACACAGTTGAACACTAGCGAATTCGAGGAATTTAATAACCGATCGTTGCTCTACCTAGACCCTATCTTCGACTTTGGCTACACCTGCAAGGATTTGTTTTTGGAGTGCACTTGGCGCCGCCAAGAAGTGGATTGCTGCAACTTGCTGTTCCGAAGGCTGCAGGTGGGTTCCTGCTATGTCTTCAACTCGTTGCTCGTTGAAGATGCCGATCCCACATGGCCCTGGTCTGTGGCCGATTCTGGTCTCAAAAGTGCGCTAAGTATCAAGGTTAATCGCTTTATAAACGGAATCAGGCTAACAGCCTTAGGGGTAAGTAACCCAAAATACAATTTTAAATAATGAAAATAACAATCTGTCTACAGCAAATAACTGTTTATCATATCGCAAATTGATACCGAAAATGTTATATCATTTCCATTTCATTATCGGAACTAACTGCATATTACGCAACCAAACAAAAAAGTGGACTGAGTGATATAATATTATTAAGAGAAATTAGGGACTAGGTTAATACGAATTTCATCAAGAAGCAAACTAATGTATCATCATCACTTGTCTACGCTATCCAATAGCAATTTATAAGAGGCTTTCATACATATAAAAAAGTTTTAAAAAACCGAATAATCAAATGGAAACAATTTGGCTCAATTTTTTTATTATGACTAAACCTAATTAAAATTGAGAAAAATTGAGAATAATCTATTATTAATTGGAATGGAAGCCCATTTTTTTTTTTTTTTTTTTTTTTTTAAATATTAAGTTATGCACCTATAGCCCATACAGACAAACACATTTTTTATTTCCAATAATTCTCATAAAAATGGAACCCAAATTCTGCTTTCTTCAGGTCATAGTACAAGAGCCAGGCCAGTATGTGGGTTCCAGTGTGACGTATTCCACAGATGATCGGATTGTAGTCGGATTGCAGCCGCGTCACTTTACGGCCGAGCCAGCTGTTAGGGCACGCCCCGTGAATATGCGATATTGTTATTTTATAGACGAGCTGAAGCAGTCCTATTCAGAGTGCATAGTCAGATGCCATATCACCTACATATCCAGGAAGTGTAACTGTACTCACAAACTATTTCCAATCAATATAGACCAGACACATGTGGAACCCATGCGCCAGTGTACAACTGCGGATTTGCCGTGCATGCAAAAGAACGGAGGTAACTATTTGGCAGGCAGTGTTAGAATGTAAGTTGATCAACGAATTCGCAAAGTTTCACTCTTTTACATGGGCAACATAATTGAGGAGTCGAAGGACAGTGTCTTCAATACCACCCATTGCAAGTGCTATCCCACCTGTGACCACACTCAGTATCATGCAACTACATTCACGGATCGCCTGAGCACCGCCGACAGCAGAGGTAATCAGTTTGAGATTGATGTCTACTTTCAGGAGGAAACTCTTTTCTCGTATCGCTCCACTCTGCACATAACAATACTTGACTTGATGGGTGAGGGTTTTTATGTGAATCTTCTCAGCCTTTTCTTAGTTTCTCATTGTTTTAATTATTCCACAGTTTCGTATGGGGGCATAGCTGGTTTGTTTTTGGGTCTATCAGTGGTCGGAGCTATAAACAGCCTATTGGATCGCATTACTTGCTGCAGCAAACCCACATCAAGTTAAAAGAGTCTCTCGTGTTGTTACCTGTAATCAAAAGAACACGAACGAATAATAGGGATGAGGAGAACGAAATAAATTGAGAAGGGGAACAAAAAACCTTAAACGCATTGTCTTATTGAGTATATTTTTTGGCTACCTGTCGTTCCAGTGGAAAATTTCCAAGGCGCAACTGCAACGTCTATGAGTGCGCATTGATGAGATTCCACTTATCCACAAAAATTATCCTCAGGAAAATACGTGAAGAATCTTTGACCCGATGAAAACGATTTCAATCGCAGCTTTCCACAGCTGAACAGGCGACCAAGCAAACGTTGAACCTTTCCTAATACCATTCTCGAGCTGCAGTTGCCTATTTTAAACTTAAACATACTCTAATATATTATTAGATGACAACTTCAGAATTTCTATTATTATATATTATATATATGATATAGTAAGCTTAAACAAATTTGAAATTGTTATAGTTTATGCTGTTAAAGAAATATAATCAGTCATTAAATTGTTTAGTTCAGTTTATTTTCATAATCAATAGCAATCCCTAAACAGTAGGTGAATCATAGTAAATCCATTAACTATACTAATCTCTACTGACATTAGACTTATTAAGTATGTCGCAAGTATATTTCAGCTAATATATAAATAATGCAATTGCTCTCAAATGTATGTGGAAAAATTATATCTTCAATATTTGAAAGCTTGAGAACATTTTATTTTTAAGGAAGTCCGTAGAAAAAAAAAAAAAAAAAAAAAAAAAATATATATATATATATATATATATATATATAAGAAAGAAGAAAGAACTAAAAGAAAAGCAAAAAAAAAAGAACCATTTTATTTGCCTCAGTTCTTCAGACCTGTAAAACTAAAGAGACCAATATTTCCTGAAATATAAGAAATATAAAACTATCACCCAACCAAAAAGAGAATATTCAATTCGATATGCTGTTATGAGAAAAGGTTACCTCTTTATTTAAAAGTAGGTAGACGAAGCTGATAGTCGACGACGATAGGTATAAATATCGTCTGTGTAGGCCCCGACTTCTCACAGTCGAAGCTTGATCGTCGAGCCGAACACACGCAAGGAATCAAAATGAAATATCTCGTTGCCATCTGCATGCTCGTTGGCTTGGTGAGTGGTTTGAAGCGTGTTAAGGCGATCAGTGTATTGTACAATTTACTCATTCACAGGTCTCATCCGAGTATGTGATCAAGAACAAAGAGGATATGCTGAGCTATCGTGAGGCATGCGTCAAGGAACTAAAAATACCAAATGAGCTCGTCGAGCAATACCAGAAATGGGTCTATCCCAATGATGCCCAGACTCAGTGCTATCTGAAGTGCGTCTTCACCAAGTTCGGGCTGTTCGACAACCAGTCTGGCTATAATGTGGAGAACATTCATACGCAGCTGAGTCGTGGCCATGCCAACCACGACGATGTGCTGCACGGCCAGATTGAGGCCTGTTTGGACAAAAACGAGCAGGGATCAAACGCTTGCGAATGGGCTTATCGTGGCGCTGACTGCCTGCTTAAGAATCACCTGAAGCTGGTGCAACAGAGTCTGGCACCCAAATCATAAATTATAGCTTTAACTTCCGATTGACCAGCAATTTTGTAATTCTCACTAATAAAAGTTTCGATTGCCATATATGTATAGAGTAATCATACTTATTTCACTTAGCCACGCCCACGCACCTTTATTAATAACCAATAAAAACTTAAGCGCAAGCCTGACAGGGCTTCATAGGTCTCGGCTCAGTGACCATGTTGCTGTACACAAAGGAGCTCGTAGCGCCGCGTGCCAAGCTCAACCAAGGTCTGCAGAGATTCAGGACGCAGCAGCTGCGGCAAAAGTATGAGAAGATGCTGCGCAGAGAGTTTGCCCACTCGACTATCCATGGCATTCAGAATGTTATTGAGGAGAAGCATGCTAACGCTCGCTACTTTTGGCTTCTTGTCGTGCTGACAGCTACGATTGGACTGTTGGTTACCTTCACCTTGTTGAAGCATCAGCATAGTGAACAGCAGCTGGTCAGCGTGGTGGAGACGACACAGTTTCCAGTTTATAATATTCAATTTCCGTCGGTTGCTATTTGTCCCTTCAATCATGTTAACTGGCTGCGCGCCTCAACGGCTGAACACCGCTTCCTGCCCAGGAATGCTGACTCATACACGCGTGAGTCCTTTCACCAGCTACTCGTTCAAATGGAACAGCTCAACTTTGGTAAGTTTCAAACACTCGGCGCGCTATCCAAGCGAAATCTGACTGCGCTGGCGAACGTGAGCCTCATCAAGCTAGCCAGTTATTTGGCCTACCGCTGCGATGAGCTCTTCGAGCCGGACTCCTGTTTCTTCGATGAAACCAAATACGAATGTTGTCAGCTGTTTGTGTCGGAGTACACTGAGAAGGGCGTCTGCTTGGTTTTTAACTCGTTGATATCCGAAGAATCGCGCAAAAAGAAGCTGGTCAGTGAGTTTTATCCCTTCAAGATAAGCACGGCCGGCGAGGGGTCTGGCCTCCAGTTTATGCTGCATCTCAATGATACTTTCTTGCGCGCTGGCACCCAGGTTCCCTTTTCTATGCATGTAGGTGGAAACATCGAGTCTTTATAACTCGGCTAACGAATATTACTGAGCGATTCTTGCTTTCTAGCTAATGATAAAGGAGTCCAATCAATGGTCAAACAACATGAACTACCATCTCTATGAAAACACTGAAAACTTTGTGTCAATAGATCCGATGGTCATCCAAACGTCCAAAAACACCGAGGTCATGGATCCGGTCAAGCGAGGGTGCTACTTTGAGGTAGGTGCACAAATTTCTGCTAACTAACATCGACTAACCTAATTATATCAGCACGAGCGACATCCCGACTATCCGTATAGGGATCTACCCTACAGTCGCTCCAATTGCATTTTCACTTGCCTACAGTGGACTGTGATAGATGCTTGTAATTGCTCCATGCCTCTATATTTGCCAGATATAGGTAAGCTCAACAACTGGAGTAGATGTCACGCCATTGATAACCAATTCCATTTATCTCCAAGACGATACCAGGGAGTGCACTGTGCTGGACTTTGCATGCCTTCATCGCCACACGGATGTCGTTGGGTATGTGAAAACCATTGACCAGGATAAATATATTAAGGACCCACGACCGGGTCAGCTTTGCCCCTGCCCAGCCAGTTGCAACACTCAACTATACCAGACGTATCTGAATGTGCGTCGCTTTGATTAGTAAGTAATAATTTACCGTTCAGCTTCTTCAGCCTCATGCTGTGCCTTTTTCCACTCCAGCTTCAATGCGACAAATACCACAATCTCAAAACGAATCAGGGCAGAGATCCATTATGGCCAGCGGGTTTTGATGAAGATTGAAACTAAGTTAAAGTACAGCTTTGTCGACTGGGTCGCTAGCTTTGGTGGCATTCTAGGTCTTTATGTGGGGGCATCGACGCTGAGCTTTGTCGAACTGGGCTACATAGTATCTCGGCTTTTGTGGTCGCTGCTCAAGGATGCGTATGCTCAAATAACTTCAAAACTATAATCGAAAAGCATTTAATCAGTTGATCAAGAGTTAATTACAAATACTTATGGCTATTTTTGTTTTGTTTCTTGGTCAGTCGGGTAGCGGATATAAATGGCCGGATTAGGCACTGTATCAGGCGTCTTTGTGAATTGATCCAAGTATGAGCAGCCAATGGCAAGGGCGCTGCCATCGGCACTGAAGTTAAGAGATGATATAGATGTGTCATACTCGTGGAACTGGCATAGACGCTTCTTGTTGAAGCCATCCCAAATGTTAACGATGCAATCGGATCCGCCGGTGGCGAATGTGTGATAAATATTGTGAAAACTAACCGCATTAACTGGATAGATTTGCTCAATATTATTGTCTCTGTTGCGATGGCATTTGAATGCAAATTTTCGACGTTGCACCTCAGGATCGTGGTCGAGGTATTCAACAGCCACACGACCCTCAATGGAGGACATGACATAACCTTCCTTATTAGGGAATAAACGAATACAGCGCGTTTGATATTTCAATGATGACTCGCGCTTCATAATATAGCTATCCGTTTTACGCAAATCCCATATTAAAACCTTACGATCGGATGTGGCCACCACAATCTTTTCATCAATCACAGACATGGAGTAAACCTTTCCGTTGTTCTGTTCAAAGCATCCAACACAGCGCTTTTCGCGCATGTCCCAAAGTTTGACTGTCTTATCCCAGCTGCCGGTCAAGATGCCATTGACATACTCTGCATGTTCAACACAGCGAATGGGTTCATCGTGAGAACCCACCAGAGTTTCAGCTTGAGTATTCACATCGTACATCCGAAGTTGATTGTCCAGGCCACCACTCACCACATGTACAATATTCTGTCAAAAGTGTAATTAGTTACGGTTCCACTCATAATGGATAAGTGTATGAAACAAACCATGAACGCACAATCCAAGATAGGAGCATCCTGTACAAATTTTTGGCGCATTGAGTTTGCCGCCACATCGTAGAAGCGAAGCGTTCCGTCCCAAGATGATGCTGCCATATACTGGTTGGATTTGGAACCAAATTTGACAGCCGAGATAAGGTCCTCGGGGGGATTGTTTAACTTAAACTCCGACGGACCCATTTTCTGTGATTAAAATAATATATTAACAAATAACAAGTACGATTCCAAGCCGATAGAGTCAAGCGGTAATGAAAATGACCAGAAAATGTCAATATAAACGCGTGCAATGGTCACCCTAGCGTTCATTTATCATATGCAGCTCTGTTTGTGCTGCGCTACACGGCCCTGACTGCTATAAAGCCGTGGTGTATACAAACAAAAGAAGTCCGTTGTGTTTGAAATTGATTTAAAATGTTTGATATTTATTTTTAACAAATAATTGGTATCACAACTAAATAGCTTTAACAACTAATCTAATATTTTGGAAGTACATATTTTGGTGGTTGCGTTTAAAAGATTAATTGAGCAATTGACAACATTATTTGTCTTTGTTCTTAAATGGCGGCAACGGTCCGTCATCGGAAGTGCTCAACGCAATGGCAAACTGAGCAGCATAATAGGTGATCATGATTTGCAGTCGTGGTGA